TGGCCAGTCGAAGAGCGTCTCCTTCAGCTGACCCTGGAGCAGCTTTAGGAAGCAGTGCGAGTCTGTGTGATCGTGGATGCTGCTGCAATCATGCCAAACACAGGCCAACTCAGAAACACAACAGATTAATAACCATTTCTTGCTTTCTTTAGTACACTGTGAAAATGATAGGATGTGTAAGTCATATCAACATACGCTTTTCCTTTACTTTAACTCATCAAAATTATTATACTGTGTCCTTGTTACACGTTACATGTACTTACTATTATACAGTTTTTTGGTAACACTTTATTTTAAGGTGTCCTTGTTACATATGTTACATGTACTTACTATTATACCGTTTTTTGGTAACACTTTATTTTAAGGTGTCCTTGTTTCATATGTTACATGTACTTACTATTATACCGTTTTTTGGTAACACTTTATTTTAAGGTGTCCTTGTTACATATGTTACATGTACTTACTATTATACCGTTTTGATCTGAAGTTCAATGCAGATTTAAAATCATAAGAAATAGTTAATAGATAAGAAATCTTTGCATAACTACAGGAAATAGTTAATAGATAAGAAATCTTTGCATAACCACAGGAAACACTGCATCTAACAATGGTTTGGAAAAAAAATAGTTAATTAAAAAATAATAATAAATAAAAGCATATACATCAGTTCAATACGGTTATCTAATAAGCATGTGTCCTATTCTGTGTACTAAACTCCTGAAACATTGGTGTCTCTTTGTATATGATATGATGATCATTTTCTCAAAATAAGTAAAATGCTCATGAAGTTACTCAGCAGTTCTAGAGCTTATGTTTTTGTGTTCATGTACTCATATATTGAGGTGGCAGAGGCTGAAAACACCGTAAGCTTCAGTAGGCCTATGTGTAGTAAATGAAACCGCATGTCTGCGCCATTAATTTCCACGAGGGGCGGACTGGGAAAAAAAATTCAGGCCGGGAAATCTCACACTCATACACCCACAACAAATTCTGAAACATGGACAACCCTATTTTTTGTATGGACCTCACATAAAAAAAGGTTTAAATCCTTAGGTTGGGGAGACTCTCCTGAACTGCACCTTCACTTCCATTTTTCTTTTCAGTCTCTTTATTTTGCCCTGATATCTATCTCTCACATGACTTTAATACTCAAGATTTAACAAAACTATACTTTCTAAATTGCCTACATGTCAAAATTAGTACATCACTACAATATCTTTATAGAAAAATCCTAATACTGAACATGAGTCATGTTTTTCCCTTACAAAAATTAACCATGATTTTATTATACTAAATGTACAGTAACCATGTTTTTTTTTTGTTGCCTAATGGATTACCATTTTTATTTGGTTTTACTACAAATGCCATGGTTAAACTATGGTTAGTGTAGCAAAAACCATGGTTAATTTGTGGTTACCATG